TTTCTATATTTTCCGATAGCGAAAGCAAATATGTAAAACATACTAAATTATCTGATTTTCTCTCCTCACAATGATGACTGGACATTGGCCAACTGCGAACCCTTTCGTTTCCTTTTAAGCGGAGTCAATGCAAACGGGAGCGCGTTTGGAATTCCACCTTTCACAGAAGAGCTTCCAATAAATCATAGCATAAAAAAATGAGATTTCTGATCCACATGAAAAGAATAACGTCGCTTGCTCAACTTAGAACTGTTTTACCCTATTTAGCATGGGGTGAGAAGAAGGGGCTTTTGATATCTCACTTCTACTTGAACGTTTTTACTTTAAAATCACACAGGCAACGAGTTACAAATCTGGCGAGTCAAGGATCTTACTGTTCCCATGGTAACTGAATCTTCTGCAAGGCAAGGGAGATTTTTCGTATGTAATCACTTTTGTTTAGGAGTTCAAGCTCGCCACTCATCCTCTGTGTAGCTAGTGCCAAATCTCTAACGGTCAAAAAAAGGAGCCTGCTCGAAGGATATAATGGTGGCATTACAATATTTTCTAGGTGTTCTCGGGGGTGCTCTAAGGTGGAGTCACCGCTCACAATAGAACCGGCAGACCACCCTGAGCCAAGAACGCGACTTGGCTGGGAGACGATACGATACGATACTATAACCAATCGCCATAACCATTATGTCCGATTCTCTACGACTCACAAAATTATCAAAAGGGGGCCTACTACGCACATAATTTGAATTCCGAATTCCTGACGCTATTTGGGTCAGATTTCAAGATGAAGCTCAAACCATTCTGAAAAGCATTCTGTAACCGGAATGGAGATTAAAACGAAGAGGGAAGGCGAAGACACCCTCAGAAGTTCAATTGAAATTAGAGTCAAGTCATACCTACTGATGCCCGCATTATTTTTCTCAGTTACTACTGAAAAATCAGCTCGACATCTCCAAACATACGCTGAACTATGAACTTTCCTCTGCGTTCACCACCTTTTCTAAAATGCAAGAAAAAAAGGACGCAAAAACAGGTCTCTACACCATTCAATAATTCTAAAGATTCTGAGAATCAACTTGTCAAGTAAATTCAACTACTCTTGGATGTCTCTGTCCTTCACGGAAAATTGATCTCAGAAACGGATCAGTACGAACTTCTGCGAATTCGTGTAGAACTTGAAGTCGTTAGGTCTCTAATGTATAAACAGTGTTATGTAACCAAGGCAAATTTTGTTCACCGTATATTAATTGTTAACTAAACTAGGGTATCTAAAAGATAGTAATGCTGCGGCACATTCTGTTGATAGTGACATATTTAACGCCGTG